GATCTATTATATGTGTAGCTTTTCCTTTGTGCCAATTTTTCCAAGCCTGTGAGAATTTGACATGTTCCTCAAATTTCAATATTCATCATTAGTCATTGGTGTCTGCAATTAGGGAAAAAAGACTAAATTGTACTTACACAACTTAGGAGGTGCTCCATGTTCTCCTCAGATTGGAAACTATTGGCTTTTTGACCACTTACAATTTCCAAAACTAGGACACCAAAGCTGAAGACATCAGATTTCCTAGAGAATTGTCCCTGCATTACGTACTCGGGTGCCATATATCCACTGCAATGATTAGTTTATAAGTATGTAATCAGTGACCAGTCATATTGATAAATATCAAGATATATTTAGTGATTGTTTAGGATAGCCAAAAAAAAAATGCTAAAAAATTAAGATCAAAGTCAACGAATAATTTTAACCATAAATTCTATGGAATACACAACTTTTATCAACTTTTGAACCAAATATTTCATAAACTTTTATCATAATCTACTAAATTTTTTATCAAAAACTTTGTCAAACAACCCTTAATCTGAAAATGATCCTGTGTATTTTTATCCAGCATTTCTTAATTTCTTTTCGTGCATAATATTAACTTGTTAAGATACTATATAACAATAGTTTGAGACACTATAGTTTCATATAAAGCTTACTAGGTTCCTACAATCCTGTTGGTACTGCCTTGAGTTTCATCTTGGACAATTAACCTTGCCATGCCAAAATCTGATATTTTGGGGTTCATCTCGCCGTCTATTAAGACATTGCTTGCTTTGAGATCACGGTGAATGATTCGGAGTTGAGATTCGTCATGCAGATAAAGAAGCCCCTTAGCAACACCCCCTATGATTTTGTAGCGTGTGTCCCAATCCAAATATTGACGCTTGATTGGATCTACAGTCCAGTCAGGCACATGACATTGTGAGAATGAGGACCATTACACTTAATATGGATAGAAATCACATGTGTAACAAGATTCCTGTAAAAATTATGATTTACTTCAGATAGAATTTTACCAAAAATGAAACGATCAAGGCTCCCATTCTCAATAAATTCATAAACAAGAAGCCTCTCGCTTCTCTCTAGTGAGAATCCCAATAGCCTAACTAGATTCCTGTGGTGAAGTCTTGCCATTAACAAGACCTCATTTTTAAATTCCAAGTCACCTTGCGCTGAATTCATGGACAATCTTTTCACAGCTATTTCTTGCCTGCTTGGAAGTTTTCCCTGACATTAAATAGAATAAACAAATATTAATTGAGTGTCCTCCCCATCATTTTCGATAAGTGCCAATTGTCTAAACCAACATGTTAATTACTTTGCTACTCATCCATTTTCTGCTTCTATTTTATTGCAGCCATATTTTTAATAATTACCTTGTATACAACACCAAATCCACCTTGCCCGAGCTTGTTAGCATCAGAGAAACTGTTTGTTGCGGCTCTAATTGTACCAAATTCATATTGTAGGGATTCAACGGTACTAATTTCATTGTCAGCTTCAACAACGTTTCAGCCAATTGTAAGTGAAAGAACATGAAGATAGTGATGGACATACGTAAAAACTGGTATTTAAAGAAAATTAAACTTACTTTCATGAATTTCTTTTGTTTTGCTCTGTCGTCTGATTCTTAGGACGATGCCAATGCATACAGCAAGTATTAGGCCCACAACAATTGGAACAATCTTAATTATGATGGTACGAGTTTTATTAACATCATTTCCTACAAAATCCAGAATAAAACCATGTTAATATTATCATTAATTTTAGAATGTTTTATGTTAAAAGTAATACTTTGTTAAAATCTAAAATGAATTTAGCACATTAGCATTAAACAACATTAGACAGGATTGGGTAGCACAAAAAAAACAACATATTAGTTTTTTTTTTCTTATTTAATTCTGCCTGTACTGTCTGGTCCACCTTACAAGCATGCCATTAATGTCATTTGATAACACTGTAGATAGTCCCTTAACTGTAAGGTAATAAATGGATTCCCTGTCGGATCTCACACAGAGCATATAAATAGGGAAGTAGTACCTCTTATATATACTCATACCAAAATAGAAGTCAAGGATTTTCTCACCTGGTGGTGCCAGTATTGGTGCTTCCCGTACCGGTACTGATGGTGGTGGTGGTGGTGGTGGTGCTAGTGCTGGAGGTGGCTGAGGAGTATAATTATAAAACAAAGAGGTGTCATATTGAAGAATGCAGCTGGGGGTGAAGATACCGAATCTTGGTTTCCCATTACAACACCGTGGTATAACTTGGCTAACCTGAATCAGGCAATCTCTACAATCCTCTGAGGGTAAATCAGGGGTGCACTGCATAAGTCCATAAATTGTCAAAGAATCTGGTCGAGTTCTATTTGCAGCAGCGAACTTCTTGAGGGAACCACCATAAGCTGCCTGGCTTTGTAGATTGTTCAACAATGTTGTCAAATCCTGGAAGAAGTCATCTGGATCTGAGACATTTTTTGTGTTCCACGTATAAAAGTCGGGGAAAGTTACAAGTGTTCCGAATATGTACTCATCAGAATAACGTAGCATGCACCAATTACGTGGATCCCGAAATGTCGCCTGTTTTTTATAAGGACACAATTGTAAGATAGAGCGCGTAGCATTATAGATACAACTGCGACAAATATCGAGTTGAACATCTCCTCTACAGAGCGCAATGGCGTTGACTCTATCAGCATATTCTCCCATGGAGGCATTGTAGAATCCATTGGTATCAATATTAGAGGAGACCGAGGAGAGGAGGGTATTCAGGTTTGCGCTGAAGGTGCTATTGCTCATGTAAGTACCATTCTCTCCACATGGATAATTCTGGGATTTAACAGAACCAAAAAGGTCTGTCAGATTGAGGAAAACGAGAGCAAGCCATTTCCAAGAACTCATAGTTATATGCAGTGTTATCTCTAATATGGAGAGAATACAGAAATGCGTGCATACAATATGAGTTGAGTTTCAACAGAACAAATTGAAGAAGGGTGAATTCGGAGGAACCAAAAACAGAACAAGAATTGATATGCTTTAATATTAAGAAACTTTTGTCTTACAAGAATCAATGTCCGATAATCACTACTTTCCTCTGAGAATTAGTGCATATCTAGAATACCGTTTACAAGTATGAGATACAAAATGATGAAACACAATGTGGAAAAATCAATACACATGACGCGTATTCATTGATAATAATTTAAACACTATTTTAAAATAATCTAAAATTAGGTTTATAGATCATTTGACGCACGTGTAATTATTTCTGCAACGATAAAGTTATATCGAATTTAAGAAGATCAACTTCATGTCTTACATATTTATTATTATTTTCAGATTAAAGCAATCTAGGATTTTAATTTTTATATTATTTGCAAGATGATGGCTCGTTCGGGAACACCAGTCATAAAACCTCAAATTGCTCGTTTGAATTTTCTGGCCTCTGATAACATATTGAGTTCTGATATTCCATCTTAAAATGACAAACCTTAAGCAGAGCTGTAACTTAAATATTTATATGTTTTGATGTTATTTTACGCTGGAATGACATGGGATTTCACCCTTCCTTACAAGACGGACTTAAACTAAAAGGTATTTTTGAAATGTCTAAAGCTCAATTCTTGTTTACTAAAACATTCCAAAAGTTTTATCAACTTTTCAATCAGTCAAATTTCAATTTTGACCACATATTTCATTGAATTCACAACTTTTACCAACTTCTTAATTATACATTTTATGAACTGTTGTCCAAATCTGCTAAATTTATTTTCAAAAACTTTGTCAATCAACCCAATAATTACGTTTAGGTTTGCCTACCAGAATTCAAGGAGTTGATTGGCTAAAAATTCTACTAATTTTCCACGATTGATTGGCTGACTGACTTGGAAAATTCAAGATTTCACACTACTTTTATGGATTGAAAGTTGAGAGTTATAATTGAGACGGGAGCATACAGACGAGGTGCGAAACAGGGGAGGTATTTTCTCCTTCCGACCACACCCATAAATGGATTTACCGAGTTCATTTTTCGCATCCTTAAATTTTATTTTAGAGTTAGTTCATTCTCATTATTCTCAAGTTCATGATTGCCATTAAAAAAAAATTAAGGTATAGAAAGACTGGAATTCAAAAGTTTACTGGTTGTTCGAGTTTTCAATTCGGTCAAATTATTGAATGTCAGCCTTATGTCGAAAGATCATTAACGTGTGAATCATTCTTCAAAACTGACCCGTTTACGTCAATGTTTTCTTTGTGAGGGAAAAACTATAATACTACATGAAAATATAAAATTCATTTACAGTGACATGAAACAAAGAAGGAATTTGGTACACGAATAAATTCTTCAAGGCCTGCCTGAAGCAAGACGCTTCTTTTGAGGCCGTTTTTCTAGGCACATGCCTCTCTTCAAAGGAGGGGGACATCAAACCTTACCTTAATTGATAAGTAGTTGTAGCAGCATAATCAACATGTAAATTATAATGTAAGATCATTGACACTCTTGACATCACATATTGAAATAAATTCAAATCATTGGCAGTTAGATTCAAGTCATAAGCATTCATATTCTAGGCATCACCACTTACACAAAATTATGCAAAGGAGTAAAGTGCGTTGTTCACATGGCCAAACAATTGCTAGACAATCTACTTGCAAGAGAATATTCACATAATATCAATAATAATATAATATGTAGATATCGTGTTATTCACATGGGGAATATCACTACCACAAACCATACCAAAAAAAATCAAGTAAAGAGAATAAATCTGTTTAAAATAATATTACATTCCAATAAGAACATAATTACTAGAAAATGTCTTGTTATATTGGATATGCATATTCTTGGAAGTTACCGCGGATATAACTCACTCATCGAGGCCTCATTTGTTGATAAATTATTTGATTTATCTTTGGATGAATGAGCCTCATGAAGAACTGAAATTTCAGGACGAAAGCTACCTGACATGAAAAATGCAGGTTGTGAAGGTACTGTCAGAGTTAAGGAAAAGCTAGAGAGCATGAGAACCACTGATCCCATTGTAGGTCTATCGGCTGCATTATCTTGAACACATAACAAACCGATATGAATACATCTCGTAATATCACTCATGGATCCTGAAGAAGTCCTCAATGCAGGATCTATTATATTTGCAACCGTTCCTTGGTGCCAATTTTTCCAAACCTATGAGAATTGGAATGTTCAAATACAATAAATATAACCCTTGGTGGCTTAAAATTGACAAAAACCAAACCTTATCATATTTGTACTTACAAAACTTATGAGGTCGTCCATACCCTCTCCATTCTGAAAATTATAAGCTTTCTGACCACTTATGATTTCCAAAATTAGGACACCAAAGCTGTAGACATCTGACTTAATAGAGAAGTGTCCATGTATTACATACTCAGGTGCCATGTATCCACTGTAATAGTGAGTTTGTAGGTATATCATTAGTCACGTGTTTAATCAAATAACCATCTAGTTATGTTTAGTTATTAACATGACCATATATGTTTAGTTTTGTGCATCACTTCATATTTTCTTTTCGTAGCAACTATGTAAAAATAAACTAAGTGATACTATGAGACATGCACTTCGTAATATGCTTACTATGTTCCAACTATTCTGNNTGCTTACTATGTTCCAACTATTCTGCTAGTGCTGTGCTGAGTTTCGTTCGGGACAAACAATCTCGCCATGCCAAAATCTGAAATTTTGGGGTTCATCTCTTCATCTAACAGAACATTGCTGGCTTTGAGATCTCGGTGAATGATTCGTAGACGAGAATCTTCATGTAGATAAAGAAGTCCCTTAGCAACACCGCTGATAATTATGTAGCGCTTTTCCCAATCCAAACATGGATTGTTTGAATCTACAATAAAGATAATTACACTCAAATGATGATAATTATGCTATAATTAATTAGCCATACAGAGCAACCAGATTGCTTTAGAATTTTGAAATACGATTTACTTAAAAATAATAATAAAATTTTACCAAATATGAAGCGGTCCAAACTCCCATTCTGAACCAATTCGTATATAAGAAGTCTTTCATTTCCTTCAACAGAGAAACCCAAGAGCCTAACCAGATTCCGGTGTTGAAGTCTCGCTACTAGCAAGACCTCATTCTTAAATTCCAAGTCTCCTTGCCCTGAATCATGGGACACCCTTTTTCCTGCAATTTCGTTTCCTTTAGGGAGTTTTCCCTGAGATTTAAATCACGAGTGANCTCCTTGCCCTGAATCATGGGACAACCTTTTTACTGCAATTTCGTTTCCTTTAGGGAGTTTTCCCTGAGATTAAATCATAAGTTAAAATTACATGAACTTCCTAATAGTGTTAATATGTATGACACCTAACAATTCACTTAAATACTTAACCTTGTAAACAACACCAAATCCACCTTGCCCCAACTTGTTAGCATCAGAGAAATTGTCTGTTGCAACTCTTATCGTACCAAAGTCATATTGTAGGGATTCAACAGTACTGATCTCCTCGTCAACTTGACCAAAGTATAAAGTAACGTTTCAAGAAAATTGTAATTAAAAGATATCTACGTAAAATTAGAAACATAGACTTACGGTCAACTTCTTCCCATGGTTTATGATTTTTTTTGGTTTTTAAGTAGATGCCAATGCAAAGTGCAAGTATTAGACCCAGAACAATTGGAATGATGACAATAATGATAGTTCGAGAAGTATTTTTCTGCTTTCCTGCAAAATTGAAAATAAATCGTGTTAATACCATTTTTAATTTAATCAAAATAATATCCTCATCTAAGTTGTAAGTTAGCTTACAAAACAAGAAACAGACGCCAATGTTGAAGTGGTTTAAATAAATTTAATTTGGACACAAATTATCAACCGCCTCCGTCATTAAGCTTCCATTTGGCTAATTTATAAATGATTTATAAAATTACCAATTATAAGTGAGAAACATTCACTTTCCCGTTTTGTACTTTTTTTCCTTTTTTTTTTTTCTTTTCAATCTTCATAATTTACATTAATAACATGAATTCATGCATTAGGTTATTATTTTAACTTATCATATAATATTTACCCTTAGATCTCTGTTGAGAGATTTAGACTAAAGGACGGAGATAATTGAAATGAAGTATGCCATTTTGATTGTCATATGACACTATATATTTTAACTTGACAACACAAAAATTTAAATGTTATTGAATATAAAAATAAAAAAAAATTATCTACAATTATGACTATGATATCATAATTGTAGTATCATTGATGTAGTAACTAAGATTGTATTATATAAAAATGTTTTTGAATATAAAAAAAGAACAATATTAAACACAGAAAGATCTTAAATTTGAAAAAAAAAAGTGTTTTTTTTAATTATAAATTCTTTTGTTGTATCAAACAACACAAGAGTTCAGAAAACTAATCATTTATAAATGTGGAATGCTACATGTTTAATGGCGGGCCCACCCCCTTATGATAGATTGTCATCCAATGTTGTACAAGAATAATTATTCTTTATAAATAAACAAACTTTATTTTTAAATGACTTATTAGCATTATTCAGTTATCCATCACTCATTTCTATTTAAAATTGAGTAAGTTTGTCCTCAATCTTTTGTTATATTAACCTAATCAATCTAAAATGACATAAACCATCCACTGCTAATGGTTGGGGCCAACTCAATATTAGTATAATTACGTGGTGACAAATGGCCCTATTATCATCGGAAAATATCTATGGCCAAAAAAAAAATGATTATGTAGACAGAGTCCTTACCCGGCGGCTGCGGTGGCCGTGACGGTGGCGTTTGTGGCTGGAATACCGGTTCAACCATCGATACGTTGTAGAATGGATCCTGATCAGTTTCGAAACGAAGATAGCAACTAGGCCTAAGGATTCTAACTCCTCTTGCACCCTCACAGCATTCCCGAATCTGTTGGGCAGATTTGTTTAAGCAATCACGACATTCCTCCGAGGTTATATCAGGTGTGCACTGTTCAAATGCAGAAATTAACGGACGATTCGAACCATTCACATCCCGAGTGGCAGCAGCAAACTTCTTCGGCGAGCTATTAAAAGCGGCATGATCGTGAAGGCTGTTCAACAATACGTTCAGCTCCCGGTAAAAAACGTCTGTATTTGTGATATTTTCCCCACTATAACCCCATTCCATTGGGGAATTTGCAAGAGTTCCAAAGATAGCCTCGTCGGAATATCGTACCATACAAAATTCGTGCCATAAGATTGCCTGTTTTTTATTTGGACACCTCTTTAAGATTTCGGCCGTAGCATTTTCCACATAATCACGACACTGAGAAGGCTGAAGATCAGCTCTACAGAGCGCAATGACGTTGACTCTATCAGGATTTTCTCCGGTAGAGGCGTTGTAGAATCCATTGGTGTCAATATTTGGCGGAACGGAGGAGAGGGAAGTATTAAGGTTTCTTTCGTAGGAGCTATTTCTTGTGTACCTTCTACCA